TGTTAAACCTTGTCCCTGCACCTCATCTACACATTTCTTGAACACTGCCAGAGACGCTGACTCCGCCACTTCCCTGGACAGCCTGTTCCAGTGCTTCACCACTCTTTACATGTAGAAATTCTTCCTAATGTCTGACCTGAACCTCCCCTGCCGCCACTTGAGGCTCTTTCCTCTTGTCTTATTGATAGTTATTCTGGAAAAGAGATTGACTCCCCTTCACTAAAGAAGGGAGACGGGTCTTGGCCGTGAGATATGTAAACCTGAAGAGCCTGTAGCATGAACAAGATGCTTTGTGCAGAAAAGAAGGTGGGGTGGTCCATACTGTTAGACACATGGGTCTAAGGGGTGAGCTGTGTCAGAAGAAGTGGAGACACTGCTTCCATGAGTCAGAGGAGAAAGTTTATGGAAGGGAAGGAGATTTATGGACTATAAGGTGGACTCTGATTTGGGGCAAAAAGTCTGTCCAGAGGAGTGAGGAATCTTAGTAAGGGAAATGTATTGTTCTTTAATATTTTGCCCAGTCTTTTCTATTTCTTTTGCTAAAGGAATAAGAAGTAGATGCACTTGGAAATTCTTATTTTATGCATATTGGCATTTATTTATATGAGGCCCACTAGCATTTGCTGGAATACGCTGCTTGAGCATGTGTCACCTCTCAGCATGTGCTGGGCTGAACACATCCCAGGATCTGAGAGTGAGAAGTTAGTGCTGAACTTTCCTCATGTTTGGGCAGTACATTTATATCCTCAAAGAGGAATTGAACTCCAGAGATATCCTGGGTTTAGCTGAATTTGTGTGTTTGTGTGTGTGCACGTGCATGTACACATGGGTCAGTTTTCCTTCAAAAATTTGTTTCCTTCTGGACTGCAACTGTCGAAACTTCCACCAAGAGCAACATTAATCTTCCCTGATCTTTTAGAAAGGAAATCAACTAGTTGCTCCTGTGTGTTGTCACAAAAAAAAATAAAAAAAGAATGTTTTTAGGACTGTTATTATTTTGTTATTCTTTGTTATTATTTTGTTCAGGCTGTTGATGCTTTTTGCCCACATGCATACAATGTTAAGGCAATACAGAAGAAAGTGAAAGTCAGTCTTAGGTTTTAAAGTAATCAATGGACTTCATGTCTAAAGCATGTGGCTTAATCCTAAAATCTGCAGCACTGAAAGACTGAACTCACTTCAGCTACATTGTGAGTCTTACAGAAGTTGTGTGAAAGCTAACACTCTCCTAGGGTAGGTTATTTGGGGATTCACAGAGCTCAAACTTTAAATTTGCACATATAAATGCATAGATTTTTAAAGCCAGAAGGAAGCACCAAGATCTAGTGTGACCTCCTTTATAATAAAATTGCAGAATTTCACCTAGAGATTCCCTGCCTGAGCCAAATAACATGAGTATTCATGCCAGAAGTGTTTGCTTTAATTCAGTAAGGGAATAGGTATGATACCAGGTTGTTTATCCTGCAATCTCCACAAAGTAACAGAGCCCAAATAATGCATACCAAGCATCAAATTCTCATAGCAAACTTCTGGTGATAGTAATAAAAATTGCTAAATGCCTTTGAATAACAAATAAATCTGATTAAACTGCTCTTTGCTAGTGGCTATCCTGTGAGCAGGAAAGAACATAAATTGTTAGATATGTGATTTATAGAAAATTATTTGCTCTTCTGAGTAACTCTTTCCATTCTTGGATCTTTGATATTCTGATAGTAACATCTTTTGCAAATAATGCAAAATGATATATATTTTAGCAGCTACTGGTTATGTTCTCTAGAGGAAAAATTCTCTAATAGCCCTGTGCTCCTGAGGGGCTTTTACAAGCAATAAAATCCAAAGCATCCAAGTGAGATTTTGTTAAGTTATCCAAATATGAATTCAGCCTTCAATTTTTTTTTCATTGCAAGGCAAGCCCAGATAATGTATAAACAGATTCTCGTGTCTGCTGCATATGTGAAGGGTGGACAGCCTATGTGTTAGAAAACATATTTGGAGCTCTGAAGCACAGTGCAAGAGCCACTGACTGAACTCTTTACTGGGGGAGGGCAGAGGGAAAAGAGTTTTAACACGGTAGTCTCCGTCACTGAACTCCTTTCTCATCTATACTTTGTTCATAGCGGAAGAAGGGAGAAAACAGACCCATGAGGGGTGAAAAACGGTTGAGGCACAGAAACCTTAAACTTCTTCCCCTTTTGGATATAACACAAAATGTTCATAAGTCATATTTAATATGGTAAACTAAAATTTGGCATCAATGTTTTTGAAGCCATCAAATCCAAACCTCTCCACTCTGCTAATCTCTACAAAAAATATTATAGCAGCCAAAAATCACTGCCAACATAGTCACTAGTGGCTTGACCTGGGAGGAAAAATCTTTTTGCAGATCTTTCTTGTGATATTCATGCTTTGTTTTCCCTAGGTCACAGATTTTCAGACTAGAATTTGTGAAACCAACTGAGGTTATGACACAAATATATGTAGTTAGAAGCCTGGTGGAAATAAAACAGCACATCCATGTCTTATAATGTGACTGGGCAGGTGGAAGGAAGGGGCAGTTGTGAACTGCAAATGCAGTGGGGTTGGGATCTCTGCTGGAAGGCCCTGGGCACTTGCTCTAACACCTTTCTGACAGTTTCCTGTGCCATATACCACTGTTGTGGCCACTTTACTCCATTTACCTTTCTTTGTCTCTCACGTGTAAAGAGGTTTTCACAGTTATCCCAATGCTCTCTATTAACGCTGAATTTTTCTCCTCAAATATCCCTCTTTGGGTCCCTCTTGTCTGGTTTCCATCACTTCTGTTTACCAGAGATGTTTACACCAAAACTATAAACAATCTCTTCTGTGGTCATTTTCTACCTTCAGTCTTCCACTTCTTCAGTCTTTTCAGCTGCTAATTTAGTGGTTCATCTACTATTTTCTCCTGTCCCTGAACATTTGACTTTTTACTCAGAAATGCCCAATAACATTTAACTTTACTCAGAAATGCCCAAGATGCAGATGGTGCTTGGAATTAGAACACGGCACAGAGGTCCCCTTTGACCTGGCACTACCTGGAAAGTCTTCTGGGAGACATGCTGGGTTGGGACCCTGTGAAGGAGATGCAGCAGGAAAATCCAGCTAGATCTGGGGACATTGAACTGCCTTATTAAATAAGAAAACCCTTATTTTTGAAGGTATCCTGAAATACTAAAATTCTTTGTCTTTGGAGAGCTGATTTTGCCAGAAGCTTGTGCTGCTCTTGCCACAGAAAGGTGAACAGATTTCCCACCAGAGCCCTTATTTCATGCATGGTCATCTTCTCTGCAAATGCCTTGCCACTTATCTCGGGGTGGTACCATGGACAAATGTGCCAGCTGCTGACACATGCACAGCGCCAATTACACCACCACCACCATTTCCACAAATGTTGCTTTTTCCCCCATTTCGTCAGCCTCAAGGCCTGTACCTGGCTCTGGTGAGAGCAAACATTTGCTCTTCAAAACAGGCAGCAATAACTGCTGATTTTTTTGGTCTAGTGATCTTTTTTGGGCCAAGGAAATCCTGTAACCATCTGAATAACTGTACAAATGTACAAATAATAAATATTTCAATACCTAATACATATCAAAGATGAGAGCTGTAATAATTCTATTATCCTGGAAAAATATTGTAGTATACGGCTAATGGCATTCAAAACCAGAGTGCAGCATTTCAATTCTTAATCATAAATTTGTTTAGTTCTTTTTTTTTTTGAGTCATATGCGTCTGAAATTAGAAATCCCAGCTGCATCTGAAAACAGCGTAGGAGGCCCACTGAAAACAGTTTGGGTTTTCCGTTGTCACTTTATGAATAATTGAAAATATTATAGCAGAAGAGGACCTTTATCCTTCATACAAATAAACCAAACTGCTCTACTTAGCAGCGTGCAAATTTTGTGTTCTGTCATTTGTGTCTGGCAGTATTCTCATTTGTTGGTCGAATCAGATATTTTTCTCCCAAAATGCCAATCTTTGCTAAAGCCTAAAGACCCACTTTAACTTTATCAGGTCATCTGGTTAAAACTGAATGTATATAATTGCATTAAACAGAACTTTTATACTCTTTAAAATAATATTTTTATGGCCTTTACCATATTGGACCAAATTCTCTGTTGATAAAATTTAACTGAATTCTTAGGCATGTTATTTCAACAGAGAATTACATCATAACATTTACATTTTTATAGTTATAAAGTAATGTATTTTACATGTAGAGCTGCATCTATAGCTTATACACATAATATATATACATAAGTATGCATTATATATATATATGCACATAAGTATGCAAGCATTAATAAATATATATTAATAGTAATAAACACACACAGACTTTGTTTTCCATCTGTGATACCCACCATTTGCTACTAGTTAACAGCCTAAACTGAGAACGGGAAATGTGTTGATGTTTTACGTGCCACCATGGAATCATTATGAAATATTTATTAAACAGCAATTATTCTGCAAAAAAATATATTTACAGAATAGAGCAGGAAGCCATGTGCCTGTGAGAGAGGTGCCTGTGACATCCAGCTCTGCAGTGACATTCAAACTAGTAGAAAGATTCTTAATAGCATTTAGGGCGCTTTATCCAATGGGGTGCAAATGCGGAAGGTCCATTGGTGTGATGATGTGATGATTGGTTTGCAGCTTTTGAGGTAAATGACCCACTAAGAGCAGAGTGGTTGTGTTTTAGCTGGGTCCTGAAATCCTATTGGCAAAAGCTCTTCAAAGTGGGCTTATATTTTTGTCACACTTTAAAGAGCAACTAACGACCCGTGGAGAATTTGGGAAAATGTTCTATTTACATTCCATTCTATTTCTACACTCTGCATTTGCATACAAAGAAGGCCCTTGTTTCTGCAGCATTTAAAGTGCCTGCTAGTTATTTTCCACCACTAGCCACAGTTCTCTGTCACATCAAACTCATTCCTAAGTGGCAAACATTTTCAGAAAACCTGTTTTGGGTGCTACTTTACCTGGCAAGTTTGTCTGTGCAGGACATGGTGATGAGCTGCTCTCCCAGCAAGACGCCATCCCACGTCTGGACCGCGTTGTGGCACCGCACGGGAATGGTTCCTTCTCCAGACTCAATCTTTGTTCGAAGATGCCCACGGTATTTTCTTACTATGTGCTTGCTGCTGTTCACTGGACACAAGAAACAGAAGAGTGGGACGAATAGGCAATAACTAAATGTTTTTGATATCTTTTCAAAGAAACACAGTGTTGATGCTAACACTTGCATTTGCAGAACCACTTATGGATGTTCATTAAGTTGAATGGAAAATTGGATGAGATTGCAGCCCAAGCCAGTAGAAAAAATGGAGAAGAATATGTGCTCCCGAGCATGATTTCATTTTCACATAAATTCAAAATTTAGAAATAGCACATTTTGAACTCATGTTCCCATTTCCTTCTGTATTTGAAAAGCATTTTTTTTTTAATCTCATTCCCTTTTTTTTCCCCGTGCTTGTAGGACTGAGCTGAGTCAGGGGAATCTGTGGAGAAGGTTGGTTCAGTGAGCAAGATCAAAGGGTAAAGACTCACGTCTGACCCACTCCAGACCAGAACTCTCGTGTGATATTCAGGGGCAGCTTCTGAATGATTACAAAACTGAAGTCACGGCTTGTTATCATCTCAAGAAATTCCACTGAAAGTCCTCAAAAGTTGAAGTATTAAACTTAGTGTCTAAAGCAAATTTAAACTTGGCAGTTTTTCACTGTTTGCTTAAGTTCCTTCCACAGGACCCATAAAGACAGACACACTACTCTCTTGTGTCATATTGATATCTGCTGTGCATTGCTCTCAGTCACTTTAGTGATGTTATATGCTTCACAGAAATGCAGCTGTCTTTGGGGCATGACACGCAGCTTGTCCTGTGTGCATCAGGACCAATCTGTGTCTGGAGACACGTAATAAGTGAGAACGATAGTGATATTTGGGAAGTGCTTTGCCTCAATTTCGATTGAAAAAGATAAAAACTGAAGTTCATTACTGAAATCACTGTCACTATTTCTATACTGCTACTTGGGTACAGGTATCTTTAGCATAAAAGAAAAGAGTGGGAGATGGTACATGTGGTCTTTGTTTTCGGGGAAAAAACATGCTGCCTCCACAGAGGCTCTTTGCCCGTATTTCCAGCATTCCAGCATATTTTTTGCATGACCTGCCTCTCAGCTGGAGAAGAAGGTTTCTGTTTTTGAAGGTGACACCTCTCCACCCTCAGCAGGTCCTGGGGCTGCCTGGCCCGTGTTCCTCATGCAGAGGAACACCACAGTGTCACCAGTCAAGGAGCTCATGGAGCTGCCAGCAGCGAGCAGCTGGCTCTGTGCACCTTCCCTGGCAGCCCACTGTCCCCCTCCTGTCATTTGTCACTGTCTCTGCTTTATACAACTGTTTTCTGTGCTTCTAGCTCTGGTTGAAGCAATTGATTGACTTTGGCTGCTGCCAATGGATTGTTTACAAAAAGGGAATGGAAAAAATAAATCGCTCTGGAGCCCTGGGATTAGCAAAAGCAGCAAACACATGTAGAACAGCAATGTCAGCTGTGACCCGCCAGCAGCGGCACCGGCTGAGCCTCCACCAATCGTTTCCTCTTCGTTTCCTCCCTGTTATTTAACCCCTTGGGATGAATTTGGGATGGGGGTGTGTGTCAGCACTGGGATGGACCAGATATTGATCGGATTGATTGGTCATTGATGAAATGGATTCCCACCCAGGAACAGGCTCCACTGTACCAGGAAGGTTTAGAAATGATTTGGGGTTTGTTGAGCTGCTTCAGGAATGATGTGTGGGGGAGAGCAGTTCGCTGTTCAGTCCTTAGGGAAACTGAGAAAACCAAGTAAGCAAATAAAAAACAAATAAGGAAAAAACCCCAAGCTTCCAGAAATGCCTCAGATCCCTCTGCCCTGAAACTGTTGGCCTGTGCCAACAGCGGAGTGAAACTGCTCTTCAGGCCTGTGAGCAGATCCTACATCCAACGCTCTGGTTTGAGATGCCTTCTGCAGCTCAGCTGATACTCTTTGGATGTGATTACCTATCTGGGAACCGGTCCATATCTTTCTTGGGAAACGGGGGAAATTGTACCAACAGTGGTGAGCAGCATTTTTTTAATGCTAAACAATGGTATGGTGAGGAAGCTGCCATGAAATTTGAGCAAAGAATGGAGAAACTGATAATTCTGCTAGGCAAACACATCTGACTATGGAATGGGGAGAAGTGGTGATGTGGCAGAGTTAGACCTCCAGAGTGGAGCACTGCAGAGGGACTCACGAGACCATTCATGCCTCAGCTGACAGCAAGCTTGAAGCAAATCAGTTCTCTTTACCTAAGCTTTCCCACAGGTATAATGAAGCAAATGATGTTTCTTTCTTCTGCAAATTCTTTCAAAATAACTGCTCAAAAACCATTTATGAAAGCTACCCTATTAATATAGATCTACTAAAAGAGTCTACCTGTAGAAATCCCACAGAACAAAATGAATTTTTAATATTCTTTTCCCCAACATTTTTTAAAGAATATTCTGCCTTGCTTTGCCTTTCTCTCCTGATTTCCCTTCTTTTCTCTACACTCTCTCACTTTGTCAGCTCCCAGTCTGCTCCTGCCCCATACACTCATTGGTCTCCTTCATCACTCGTTTTCAGGGACTTCACCACGTTGCTGCTCTTACGTTTTGAAGGCTGCACATTTGCAGCATTGGGACATGTAACTGCTAGAGAATTTTAGTGACTGTGTGACAAGATGAATGGCCCCTCTTTAACGTTGCTTTGAAACATTACCTAGTGTGGAGCAATGCATCACACAATGTGCAGACAGAGATAAGGAGGAGAGATCCACTTCAGGGAAGAAAGAAACATGAGCTCTGCTAACAACTCTTTAGCATTTAGGGAAATTAAAGCTGAGGCCAACAATTAGAGAGAGAGGGTTTTTTTTTTTTTTTTTTTTTGATTTTAGGGTTTTTGGTTATTTACTTTTTATTTTCACTCCTGGCCTTCTCAGTTTTCCCCAGGACTGAAGTTTGACAGGCCAAAATACTCTGAGCCTGCTTGTTGTTTTAGCTTCCCAACCTTGGCCTGAAAGGCCAAAAACTGAATAATGAAGTTTTCCAAAGCACTTAGGAAGTGTGTTACAGCTTTCACCATCTCAGTTTCCAGAAGCGCATATTAACTCACTCTGTGTATCAGACTTTGCTTCCCATAACGCAAGCTCTGCCCAGGATGCAGCCAAGCAGGCAGAATTAGCTGATAGGATTCAGGCAGCTGTGGGCAGTCTACGCTCACCCTGGGAAACACTTCCACAGCGCTGATAAGGGGCTTTAGCTGCTCAACTACTATTAAATTCAATGGCTAGGATGTGGCTAAAACCCTGTGCAGTACTGCGTATCTAAAGCTACTCATATTACTGGGATAGCCAGAGTGCATATTTCAAAAATGGAATCTGCAGCATGTATTCAAAATAATAATAACCCAAAGCCCTGAATGGTTTCAGATTGCTGATGATTAAATTCAGATCTGCATTTGGAATATGCTTAGCTCTTTTTTAACATATTTTAAGTAGTGTATGAAGATATAAATATTGAACAAAGAAATAGATGAGGCTCCGTGTATTTTTTACTGAAGCCATAGACAGTCTAGCACATAAGCTGCTTGCCAGAAGTAAAACATGTAGTCCATTTCCTGGCACAATCTGCTACAGATCACTTAAAAATGTCTCAGAGAGATATTTATTTATGCATCTTGAAGCCACAAACTACAGCCTGCTGTTGTTCTCCTGTTTGGTATGATCAAAGCATCAGTGACTGAGAGCATTTCTGATCTTTGCTGTGCTAGTTCTCCAACTGCTTAATCTCAGCTAATTGCAGGGGAAAAGGCGTCCGAGGATGCCACTTCAACCAGAACAAAATGTCAATTCAAACAGGAATTAGAAAGGACAAATTTAAAAATCATTTGGAGTGGGTTTATGATGTGCTACACTCACATGGGGAAATTACTCCTTAGAGTTTATAAGAAGGTGCATGATTATTAATTACTGGATTATAAATTTGCACAGGTGCCCTGAAATCTCTTCATTTTGAGACCTACTCCTTATTTTGTTAGGAGCAGTTCTGGCTGAAATGGTAATGAAAAAAACCTACTACATATTTATTGTTTAGTTGAAGAGGAAATGGATGGTGACTAAACAGAAGCACATGAGTACGGTTCGGTCTGAGATTCAGCATGACTGCCCTGGAGGTTCATTTTCTATTTCCCTGCTTCAGTGGAGGCTGTTCTCTCTTCTTGAAGGAAGAAATAACATGGCCTGTCTTGCATTTAGTTCAGTCCTGGACCCTCAATTCGCCAGTATGGTTTATCAACCTTCCTTACAGCTCTTCCAAACAAAGGGTGGGAAGAGAAGTGTCAGCATCTTGCTGCCTTTGTATTTTGGAAGTCATTAGAGGCAGATGCTGAGTGTACTGAAGGAGGAAGCCCCTCTGAAAGCACCGCTGTGCATCCATCCTATGAGGGCCTCTTGTCCCCAGCTCTGGAGGTACCACAGACACTAGGTTTAGCTCAAACCTATGGCGAGATGCATCCCAAATGCATGGCGAGATGCATCCCAAGAAGTCTGGAGGTGCTTTAAAACATTCGCGGGAAGGTCTGCTGGGCTTGTGCCATGAGTGGGGCAGCCTCATTGTGTCATGTCAAAGTGCAGATCTAGGTTTGGACTGTATCACTGAGCATATATGCCAATATAAATGCCCAGTAACTAATGAAGTATTTTACATGAAAGCCTTGGGCACCAGTGAGGAGCTGAAATTAACAGTTAAAATTGAAATCCTTTATCCTTTCCATCCCTTGATGCATATTTCCTGGCTAAAATCCTGGTAGGGGGAAGCAATCAGGTATCCCATGACTTTATAAAAGAGGCTACCTTCAGTATTTTGCTATTTCTCTTCTTCATTAATGTTAAAATAAGAAAATACATGCATTACAAAAGAGTTTACTATTATGTCTCCCTTTCAAGAACCCCAGGGATCAAACTATGACTAATTAATTAAAAGACTCTCTAAAACAATTTGTTGACAACGAAGTCACACTTACCTCTCAGGGTTGTAAATTACTTTTACCAGCAAGGAGGAATGAGCAGTGCTGGGTTAGGCATGGGGGAGA